TACCCCACATCTTCTCCAGCATAAGTGTTTTTTTGGCCATTCTGGCAGGTGTAAAACAGAATTTCAGAATTGTTTTGATTTGCATTTCTCTGATGGCTAAGGGTATTGAGCATTTCCTTACGTGTCTTTCAGCCATTTGAGATCTGTTAGTGGAGAGTTCTCTGTTCAGGTCTGTACCCATTTTTTGTTGTTGTTGGATCGCTTGTTCTTTTGATGTCAAGTTTCTTGAGTTCTTTGTATATTTTGGAGATCAATCCTCTGTCCAATGTGGGATTGGCAAAAATCTTTCACCATTCTGTTGACTGCTGTTTTGTCTTGTTGACTGTGTCCTTTGCTTTACAGACACTTCTCGGTTTTAGGAGGTCTCATTTATTAATTATTGCTCTCAGTGTCTGTGCTACTGGGTTTCTATTTAGAAAGTGATCTCTTGTGCCAATGCCTTGAAGTGTACTTTCCACTTTCTCTTCTATGAGGTTCAGTGTGGTTAGTTTTATATTGAGGTCTTTGATCCATTTGGACTTGAGTTTTGTGCATGGCGATAGATATGGATCTATGTGTATTCTCCTACATGTTGATATCTAGTTATGGCAGCACCATTTGTTGAATATGCTTTCTTTCTTCCATTTTATATTTTTAGCTTGTCAAAAATCAGGTGTTAATAGGTGTGTATTAATATTTGGGTCTTCGGTTTGATTCTATTGGTCCTCCTATCTGTTTTTATGCCAATACCAGATTGTTTTCAGTAATGTAGCTCTATAGTAGAGTTTGAAGTCATGGATTGTGATGCCTCCAGAAGTTCCTTTGTTGTATAGGACTGTTTTGGCTATCCTGTTTTTTTTTTTTTTTCATATAAAATTGATTAATGTTCTTTTGAGGTGTGTGAAGAATTTGGCTGGAATTTTGGTGGGCACTGCATTGAATATCTAGATTGTTTTTAGTAAAATTTCCGTTTTTACTATGTTTACTTAATCAAGAGCAAGGGATAACTTTCTGTTTTCTGGTGTCTTCAATTTCTTTCTTCAAAGTTTTAAAGTTCTTGTCATACAGGTCTTTCACTTGTTTGGTTAGAGTTGCCCCAAGATATTTTATGTTATTTGTGGCTACTATGAAGAATGATATTCCTCTGATTTTTTTCTGAACCCGTTTATCATCTGTAAAAAGGAGGGCTCCTAATTTTTTTTTTGGTAGTTAATCTTGTATCCTGCTACATTACTGAAGGTGCTTATGAGATGTAGGAGTTCCCTGGTACAATATTTGGGGTCACATATGTATAATATTATATCATCAGTAAATAGTGAGAGTATGACTTCTTTTCCACTTTGTATCCCCCTTGATCTCCTTTCCTTCTCTTAATGCTCTAGCTAGAATTTCAAGTACTATATTGAATACACAGGGAGAGTGGACAACCTTGGCTTATTCCTGATTTCAGTGGAATCGCTTTCAGTTTCTCTTCATTTAATTTGATGTTGGCTGTTGGCTTGCTGCATATTATTGCCTTTATTATCTTTAGTTATATTCTTTGTAACTCTGCTCTCTCCAAGACTTTTATCATGAAGGAGTTTTGAATTTTGTTGAAGGCTTTTTTAGCATGTAATGAAATGATCATGTGGTTTTCTTTGTTTGTTTATGTGGTGGATTACATTGATAGATTTTTGTATGCTGAACCATCCCTTCATCTCTGGGATGAAGTCTACTTGGTCACTGTGTTTATTTTTCTGATGTGTTCTTGGATTTCATTTGCCAGTACTTTATTGAGTATTTTTGCATGAGTGTTCATGAGTCTGATTGGTCTGTAATTCTCTTTTTTAGTAGTGTGTTTGTATGGTCTTGGTACCAAGGCACTGTAGCCTGGTAAAATGAGTTTGAAAATGTTCCTTCTGTTTCTATTGTGTGGAACAATTTGAGGAGTATTGCAATTAGCTCTTCTTTGAAAATCCTGTAGAATTCTATGCTGAAATCATCTGGTCCTGGGCTTTTTTTTTTGTTAGGAGACTTTTGATGACTGTTTTTATTTCCTTAGCAGTTACAGGTCTATCTAATTTGCTTATCTGGTTTTGATTTAATTTTGGAAAGTGATATTTATCCAGAAAAATGTCCATTTCCTTTATGTTTCTAATTCTGTGGAGGACAGGCTTTTAAAGTATGACCTCATGATTCTCTGGATTTCCTCCATGTTTGTTATGTCCCTTTTTGCTTCTGATTTTGTTAATTTGGATATTCTCTGTTTGCTTTTTGGTGACTTTGCATAAAGGTTTGTCTATTTTGTTAATTTTCTTGAAGAAGCAACTCTTTGTCTCATTGATTCTTTGTATTGTTTTGTTTCTATTTTGTTGATTTCAGTTCTCAATTTGATAATTTCCTGTCATCTAGTCCTCCTGGGTAAGATTGCTTCTTTTTGTTCTAGAGCACTCAGATGTTCTGCTAACTTGCAAGTATGGGATCTTATCAGCATCTTTCTGTAGGCTTTTAGTGCTATGAGCTTTACTCTTATGACTGTTTGCATTGTGTGCCATAATTTGGGGATGTCATGCAGCTATTTTTGTTGAAATTTAGGAAGTCTTTAATGTCTTTATTTCTTCCTTGACCCATTCAAGGTGAGTATTGTTCACTTTCTATGTGTTTGTGAGCTTTCTGAAATTACCGTTGATGTTGAATTTTAACTTTAAGACATGGTAATCCGATAAGATAAATGGGGTTTTTCTAACTTCTTTGTATTTGTTGAAGTTAAGAGATGACAGGAGCACATTACGGACAACTGGATGACAACCGACTTGAAGACCAAGGAGGAGGAACGAATTCCCTGAGGAACGTACACCGTCCAAGAGAAACAGAACTTCCACACTGGCTGTGCTATTTGGAAAGCCATGCAGTGTCTCCCCTCAGCAAAGCTCCAGGCCCAGAGTTTATCCGAGAGTTTCGTCAAATGATAAGGAACTACTATTGGTCTTACAGCATCACCCTCAGGGCTCTCATCCCTAGACTGCGGCACATTGTAGATGCTCATGAAAATGGTTTCTCCTCTCTCCTGACCCCAAAGGCAAACAACTGTAAGATCAAGCCTGACAAGTTAGAAAAGAGAATTCAAAATTGAACGGCCAGTTACAGGACATGACCTTCTAATGACCGTCTAATTGCTGAGAGACACTCAAAGTGTAATTTAGGAATAGATTACTATCAGCCCACTTTACACTCTAGGATGGAGAAGGAGGGGCATAGGAGTTGTCACCACTAATTAAGAAGCTAGTGCTAACTGGTGGCTTCTCAGGAAGAAAGAGATAAGTTGTCATTAAGGGGCGGTCCCTGGTAGGTCCACTATACTCCAATGGAGGGCAGAAAACAATCCACTGAATTATTTTTTTAAAAGACATAAAGAAGGGATTGAGGAACTAGGGGGTACAATTGAGGGACAGATATGAGATGAGGTGGGGAAGTAGTAGGGGATGAGAATTATCAAAATACATTATATGAAACTCTCAAAGTATCAATAAAATATTATTAAAAACTGTACTTTAGCAAGAAGGGATATATGAGAGGGTCTAGACGGAGGAAATGGAAGGGAGAAATGATGCCATTATATTAATTTCAAGAATATTTTAAGAAGAAATAAACCCAGGTTTGAAACACTGGAGGGAACAGGGGCTGACAAGATGGCTCAGCTGTAAAGTGCACTAGCTGCTCTTCCCGCAGATCTGGTTTGAGTCCCAGCGCCCACATGGTGGCTCACAACTGTCTATAGCTCCAGTTCCAGGGAACACAACATCCTCTTCTGGCTTCTGTAGATACTAGGCATGTATGTAGTGTACGTACGTATACACAATTCTCTTTAATTATTTAAAAATAAATATAGCAGAAGGCTGGTTTTGAATAAGTGCCCTTCCACAGAAGCACATATGCTATTTGAAGTTCACCATAATGGAAACCTGAGACTGATGTGGGAGTGTCATATATCAATCTGTTGATTTCATTGGTTAATCAATAAAGAAACTGCTTGGCCCTGATAGGTTAAAACATAGGTGGGAGAAGTAAACAGAACAGAATGCTGGGAGGAAGAGGAAGTGAGCTCAGAGACACCATGCTCCTCTCTCCCAGGCAGAGGCACGCGATGAAGCAAGCCACCAGGTCGGACATGCTGAATCTTTCCCGGTAAGACCGGTGCTACAGATTATTAGAGATGGGTTGATTGGGATATGAGAATTAGCCTGTAAGGGCTAGAGTTAATGGGCCAAGCGGTGTTTAAAAGAATACAGTTCGTGTGTTGTTATTTAGGGACATAAGCTAGCCAGGCGGCTGGGGTGCTGGGGACGAAGCCCTGCCGCTCCTATTACTACATGAGACAGTGTTTAAAATTTACAATTTATCCTAACTTATTTTGCCCTTTTTTCCTTTCTTTCCTAAAATCTCAAAACTTTAATGGTTTACTTTTTTGGAGCCTGTTCTGGAACTAGCTCTTGTAGACCAGGCTGGTCTCGAACTCACAGAGATCCTCCTGTCTCTGCCTCCCGAGTGCTAGGATTAAAGGCATGCGCCACCATCGCCCGGCCTTGGTTTACTTTTTTAAATTGCCAGTCACAAATAATTCTTAAAAAGGAAGAAAATGTTTACCTGCTATGGAACTATGAAGAAATTAAACCACTCAAAGTGTACAGCTTTGTATTTTGGGGAACACACTCTGACAACTAACAGATAACTCCACCTGCAGGCTCTCTGATGGAAAGTATAGGGTCCCCACATACCCATGTGAGCCTGAGCTCCAAGTACCCATGTGAGCCCGTGATCCACACACTCATTTGAGTTGTATTCCACACACTCATGTTAGCCTGTACTGAAATGAAAAGCAGACAAAATCAGGAGAAAACAAAATTTGAGTAATTAGTAAAACAAGACATAACATTGATTTTCTTCCTGTCTTAAATGAAAACCTGAGTTCTGTTTAGAAGGTAAGAGCAAAGGATACATGAGAAGTGTCCTTGTGCAAATAAAGACTTGAGAGTCATTCTCACCTTGACAACAGTCACATCCATGCCAGACAGGTGTAAAATTGGGGCAGCATTTTTCTCAAATAGAGTTCTGGCTTTGCTGTAGACAAAGGGGGAAAACCACAATTATATCAAGACATATTCTACAGCTGAGAATAAAAAAATTTAACCATGTGCCCTAAAGAACAGGCTTGATTTGTTCAAGAATAGGAAATTCACAGTGAGTTACCATAGGTAGAAAAACAGATTGTCCCTTATCTCATATAATCAGCTTGTATACATTTGGGATGCTACATTCTCTAGACAAACAACAGTCAAACAACAAAGCTTGACCCCCTCAGACCTTCCATGGCAGGCCCAGCAGAGGAACAGAATGGACGGACACGGGGCTGGCCTGCAGACCTGGCTCTCAGAGCACATGCGCTCTCCTGCAGTTGACCATACTCTAATAAAGGGAATAGAGGTATTTACTGCAACATTATTGATAGGGCCAAGAGCAATAAAACAGACTCACTTAACCCTTTACTAATCAGCTTGCTCTTCTAGGAAGAGACACACGTTTATAAAGTGTAAACACTATGGGTCCTCCCAAATCGAGAAAGATAAAGAGTTTTTTCCATGACAGCTGAGTTTTTGATAGGAAAGGAAGTGTCAAAGCTATCCCTTAGGATGGATGACTAACAAGGAGCTGGTCTACATCTCCCGAGCACAGACGCCATCTCTGTTCCTCTAGCACTCGATACATCTGTCCATCAACAGTGCTTTCAATGCATGATAAGGACAGCTTTCACACTGTCTTTAGCACACGACAAAAAACTTGCAAAAACAAATACCAGTCCTTAGTAATTCTTGAATCCTCCAACTTCTAGGAGGGGATATTCCAAGGTATTTACTAATTATCTGATGAATTAGTGTAAGAATTAATCCCCACATGTAGGCAGATGAATTCTGAGGAAAGGAAAACAAGATTGTGATATCGTACTGACTGTAATATCTTACAGTTAGAGGAATCATCAAGCAACCTTGGATGGCTCTGTGCATTTCTCATGAGCATCATTCCATCAGTGCAATCTCGTCCAATCCAGGTCGAGATTCAGAAACAGTCTAGGGCTCATGGGCAGAAGTAGCAGAATGTCTCTTCGCACGAATGGTAGATTTGATATCAAACAAATGTCAAAATATATCAACTAGTTGGCCTGTCTTTTACCCTGGTATTTTCACCTATCACACACGCACACAGTATTAAAACATCTCACTACTACCTACATATTTACTTAGCTCTTTTCCTAAAACAGTTTCCTTAAAAACGAGTGATGTATTTTACCTTCCTTAAGAATATTTGTATGAGAAATACAAAGGCAGCTAAGGAGGAGCACTTAATGGCTGAACACAGAACAAATTTGCCATCTTTACTGAAAGCAAAACCACAAATTGCACACAAAAGGAAGATTATCAGCAACTTCAATGAAAGCTGAAAAGACTGCACAAGATTCCACAAGAACCATCAAGGCTCTAAGTGTGAACAAAAGCAAGTTCAATATTTGCCACCTTTCCTGGTGCCTGAATAATTATCAGAAGGAACATAAAAAGCTACATGGAAATGAGTCCCCTCTTTCCCCTCCACCCCTTCTGCACCATAACAAAAGGAGAAGCTGAGGACATTGTGAGGGATGCCTTCACTGCTGGAATGATAAGAACAGAATCATCTCCTAAAAGCAGAACTCTGAGGGTCTCAATCTGTCAGATCAATCACACCAAATCTGTAGTCTCTATGAGCTCCAGAGAAAGGACTCAAACATTTGCTGTTCATTTACATCTTTACATGAAGTCACAGGTTCAGAAAACCTCTAAAATAAGCAAAGACTTTTCTTCCGATTGAAAAACACATGTTGAATAGCCAGCCTGCAGCAAGCAAGGTAGGCCCTTTGTTTACAAGCTACCCAAACAGCACGGAGATCTGATCTGGGCACCAGGAGAGACATCATTGGGGGGAGTGAGTTTCTGACCGCGGCAGCAGTCCAGGACAGGGAACTCAGACATTCCTCATCCCTCCTACACTTCCTGGTCATCCTCAGGGGCTATACTGCCAGATACCTCATCTCTCTTCCTATCCCACCCAGCTTGTATCCACAACCCTCCCCACCCCACCCCGCCTGCCTCCCTCACCTCTTTGGCCACATAACATCTCCCAGCTCAGCCTGTTCGGGCGCTGGGACCAAATCTGAATCAGGAGGGCAACCGGGAGGGTGGTAGTTCCTTTGTCTCAATAGCCTGCCTGCAGCAAGCAAGTTAGACCCTTTGTTTAGGAGCTACCCAAGCACCACAGAGATCTGATCTAGGCACCAGGAGAGCCATCACTGGGGAGTGACATCACTGGGAAGGTACATCAGTGGGCAAGGAGACCTGATCCTGTAAAAGAAGATCCATAGGGGAGCATTCGGAGGAAGAGATGGGCAGGCGCCAATGCAAGAATTCACTCAACCATCTGAAGAACAACATGAAATCACCAGGACCCAGCGATCTCACAACAGGATGACAGGAATACCTTAATCAAGAAGAAGTAGAAAAAATTGACTTTATGAAAGTGATTGACACCCTTAAACAGCATGTAAAAAATGCCCTTATTGAAATGGATGAGAAGTATAACAGAAAGTTTGAAGAATTGAATAAATCAGTGAATGATACCCTAGGAAACCAAGGAAATACAATCAAACAGATAATGGAAACAGTTCAAGACTTGAATACTGAAATGGAGGCAAAGAAGAAAACACAAATAGAGGGCCGGCTGGACATGGAAAATCTAGGTAAATGAATAGAGACTACAGAAACAAACATAACCAGCAGAATACAAGAGATAGAAGAAAGAATATAAGATTCTGAAGATAACATAGAGAAAATAAACGCACTGATCAAAGAAAACAGCAAGTCCAACAAACTCTCATCACAAAACATTCAGGAAATATGGGACACAATAAAAAGACCAAACCTAAGAATAATTGGAGTAGAAGAAGGAGAAGAAGTGCAGCTCAACGGTCCAGAAAATATATTTAATAAAATTATAGAAGAAAACTTTCCCAACCTAAAGAAAGATGTACCTATGAAGGTTCAAGAAGCATACAGAACCCCAAATAGGCTGGATCAAAAAAAATCCCCTCGCCATATAATAATCAAAACACAAAGCATACAGAATAAAGAAAGAATATTAAGAGCCTCAAAGGAAAAAGGCCAAGTTACTTATAAAGGTAAACCTATCAGACTTACACCTGACTTCTCTATGGAAACCATGAAAGCCAGAAGGTCCTGGATAGATGTACTGCAAAAACTAAAAGACAATGGATGCAAGCCCAGACTACTATACCCAGCCAAGCTTTCGTTCACTATAAATGGAGAAAACAAAATTTTCCAGGATAAAAACAAATTTAAACAATACATAGCCACAAATCCAGCCTTACAGAAAGTAATAGAAGGAAAAT